CACGTGAAGACAGGCGTGCTTTAGAAGTCTGGTCCTCACCCTGCCCCGGGGTCGTGCCAACCGGCCCTGACCTCTGACCTTGTAGTAAAGGGAGATTAATGATGGTGAACCTGTAACTCGAGCTGTAACATCCGACCCCGATCTCTGCAGGGTGTGAGGCTTTACCACAAACACACTTTCACACACGTGGTGCAAAGCATGAGGTCTGAGGGAGGGATCGGGAGGGATGCATGAACCTCCATTCATGAACGAACATAATACAGAGAGTAAGAGATAAAAAGCAGACAATTTATCATTTAATGTTATTCACACTATATCTTCACATTGTGTATTGTTAGTATTCATCAGTGTTTATCAACAGGGGCAATATAATCAATATATATATATAATATAATATAATCAATATAATCAAGCAATATAATATAATAATTTTGTACAATCGCTGTTCGATCTTAAGTGCTGGTTTTTGCATGAGAAATAATAACTTAAAAACCTCAAAGTGCTGTAAAAATCAAATGATTAAAAAGTAATGCAATAGAATTAATAAGGATAAAATTAGAGATGAAAAGAATACAAGTACAAAATAAGCATCAGGAGAGAAAAAAATTACACACATAGAGAATAAAATGTATATAGCGTATAAAATATATAAATATCTAAAATAATATCTAACTTTTCTAGTGTCTACATCTTAACTATAACAGACAAGAGGCAGCTTTTTCCCCCAAGTGCATGTTGGTTACAGTGAAACCCTGTATATACATGTGATTTATGAAAGGACTATATGTGTTGAATTTTCCCACAGGTCTGAAAATAATATACTATTTGAGTTAAAAGTAACACAAAAAGTGTTAACTGGATACACAGATATTTGAAAATGATAACATGACACTACATCTGTGCTCGGATAAGTTTGATTTAGCGAGGATTAAGGAACGAAAGACTCCACCCTACTCACTCACTTCCTCAAAGAACTACCCCACCATTTTTACTATATTTTTTATTTGATTCCTTCCTTTTTCGTTGGGAGGTAAAGCTCTGTTTACTCTCTGGGGAGCTGTTTACAGCCGCCACCTTTTTTTACTGCACACTCAGAGAGTGAGAGGATGTTACCACATGTAGACGTTCATTAAAGCTTTAAGGAAAACTGTCGTTAAATTCGACCAGACTGCACATTTAAGTGCTCTTAGTGGGGTCGTGTCAGTGTTTTTTATTTGTGTGAGCCACACAAACACATTCACATATCACTGCCTCCAAGCGGAGGATTTGTATCCACAATGCACTATTTTTACTCATCCACGACGTCGTAAATAGGACAGCAGAGAGGGAGGCTTAATGTCTGAACCACAAATAGTGCTCATTGTTGCTTTATTATTACCTCAAGGGCACAAACATGTCTACAGTTTTACAGTCTTACAGACAAGAAATAATGGTTGTTCTCATAATAAAAGAGAGTCACAATGAAATTTCCAGGCCTTACATTGTGTTGTACAGGAAACTCTCTAATGTATAATTTATCATTTGTTCATTTAGTTATCTTTAGTAAGTGTTTTATCATGGTCAGGGTGCTGGATCTGTAGCCTATCCTGGGAACACTGGCTGTGAGGAAGGAGCACACCCTGGATGTCATGTATTAATGTAATGCCATATTATCTGGGTGGGGCATTCGTATCCGTATGACGTTCATATATACTCGTATTGTAATCCATTCGTAATTAAAAGCCTTTGTTACATTTACATTTGGCTGGTGTTTTTTTTTTGACACAGGATACAACTGAGCAGTTGAAGGTTAATAGTCCTGCTCTAGGAGCCAATTATAGCAGCTTGGTAGTGACTGAATTTAAACTTCTAATCAGTAGTTCAAATCTGTAACCACTGTGCTACCACTGGCCTAGATAAGCTGCACCAGTTAGAATTAAACCCAGTTCACAAGCATGGGACTCTGCATGATAGATACCTCTACACCACGTCCAGTGCTATTTGTCTGAACGTGGGTTTAACTGTCATAGCAGTTTGAGAACATGTGGTGGATGGCTTCATGTGTTCCTGATTGATAGCTGTCGTGCAATAGAGGAGAACTAGCTAGTGAGGATTGTAATGGCTAGTGACAGCCTATTTTTCTAAGTGTCTCTGTTGTGGCATCTCACCAAGGCCAAGGTGTTACTGACTTTAGTTTCCACAAAAAAATTCTTGCTTAATGTTGTTGATTTAGATGTGTGGCATTCTTCTTGGACTTTGAATTTCTTAGAATTATAAACCTGTGATGGACTGGTGTACCATCTAGGATGTATTCCCACTTCAAACCCAATATTTCCTGGCATAGGCACTGAATCCACCGCTATCCTGACCAGGATAAAGTGCCTGTGAGAATAATAAACTGTATGAGATTAAGGAGTTCTTGTTGTGTTTAAAACACAGGAAAAGAAAACTCATTAAATGAAGAATATAGATCATTTTTTGGAATGACAGAAAGATGTCAGGACCTATTTATATTCTGTATTTGGTGTTTAAGCGGGCAGGTATGTGCTTGTGTCTGAGAAAGAAAGAAGGTACATTGTAATGACATGTTGGAACCATCCACTGCTAACTCCAACCTCCAAAAAGAGTCAGATTGAAGCTTTGAATTATTTCTGCAAATCGTGAATGCTATTCGTGCATGTTTTAGATCTTTCTGTATTCATATGCAAGCTGGTTCCTATTTTTCACACTTTCCCATTGTCTGGCCCTATAGAGGAACTCATAGCTCAACCTTTCGCCCCCAGACCCCCTTGAGTGCAGCGCCTTCAACAGCAAATGCTGTGATTGATCGTACATGCTCACATATTCATTACCATAAAGTTATCACCTCGCTGCTTTTCTCTGAATTCCACCCAGAGACTCCCCGTGGAAGTGCTTTAAATCACAAGGCTGCTGTCATAGTCAGGGTCCAGAGACGTGTTGCTCTTCGTTCTTCGTTGTTATTGGCCATGATGAATAAAGCTGTGGAGTTATATAGCAGCCTTTGGAATACATAAGCATGTTTCACGCATATTTCAGTGGTTGAGTAAGGTGTTGTAGAACTGCTGAAAGGAAGTGGAATCTGGACTTACCTCTTATGAACCGAATGTTAATGGTAATAAGTCTTACTTAGGGAAGAAATGTAAATCTTAAATCTTAATTTTTCCAGTTACCTAAATGTTATCCCTGAAATCAATCCATGGAGACTGACAATGGAGCAGTGATGTGTCTAACACAACAATTACCATTTTTCCTGCCTTTGATGCAAAGTTACATAAAGCAATGCATCATATCATATTATACATGGTATTATTTTTGCATTAGACTTGCTACTTCAGCAGCTATTCAGCAGAAATTAGTATTAGTGGAGTAGCTTTAACATGGGTAACAACAATGGGACAAAAACTAAAGTGAACTATATTGAGCCTCTGAAGTGGACCCCATTAATGGGTATTATTTTTCTCTAAGCAGATAGAATTGAGAGGAGGAAAATGTATTATACTAATTTATACCACAACGCTGATGAATTCTGGATTCTGATTGGTCAGAAGGTGTCGATTAATTTTCTGTAACAGCAGCTCTGACAGTAGTGCAGCTGCAAATCACAGGTTTATATTAATGCCCTGGTTCTAATATGTTTCTGTTTCTATTGTACAAAACACCTACGCAGTTGTCAATCATTTGAGGTTAATATGTCAATCGGTTCATCTGCCATTTTTACTGGGGGGAAAAAGAAGACTGTTCTTTCGGTGTGTGTTTTTTTAGTGATACTAGTATACTCTGATGTGGAGCTCCTACGTAAAATGCGTAAAGGTTGGCAGGTCTGCAGTTCAATCTTTACCAGATGTTCACATCTGTCAGTTTCGCGCCAACGGAATGGAGAAGAGAAAGTTTCCGCAAATCACAGTTGACTCGGAAGCGACCCAGTCCCACAGTTCTTCCCAGGCCACATGATTCCTACGCTCCATATCATCTTTATTGCCTGAACACAACAGCAAAAACTTCAGCTGTGCTGCAGTGAAGGTCTGTGCAGACATGTGGTGGTGCGCTTGCTCTTGCTTTTGCATCCGGTTACATTTCAGATCAAGAGGAAGCCAGAAGAAAGTTTGTTTTGGTGGAAGTCACTGCTCTTACCACCCAGTAGGTGCAGGCACGCTCCACACTGCTGGAGATGGAGATGGTTGGACTGGTTGGTTGGATGCATGGATGGATGAATGGAGCCAGCTGGGACATCTCTGTTTTTTTGTAGTGAAGGCCTAGTTTGCTATAGTGTCTATTGACAGAAGGGTGTCTGAGTTGTTGGGCCACCACAAGCCACCAGAACAGCTTCACTGCACACTGGGAAAGATTCTACAAGTCTATGTACTGAACTGTACTTGAGTATTGAACACCATTTTCCTCTTCTTTCCATTAACGTGTAACCAGGATTGTTAAAATGCTAGCTACTTACACAGAATTGGCATGGTGACAAGCCTAGCAGGAGATGTTCCTGGATCAACATCTCTTTGAAACCATATTTTGGCTTAATATAGTATTATAGGATGCATTGTTCCTTGGTGAACAGGATTTCTTCGCAGCATTTCTTTTAACCAGTCTGATGTCATATGTGTGTCCCTCTGAATTTCTTAGCAGTTTATATGCAGAACTAGCAAGCATTAGCTCAGCTTATCACTGCACTACACCCTACTGCCCAAAGGGGTTTTCAGAACAAAATCTGCATTTGTAGTAAAGTCTGTCTGCTCAGCAACCATTTTGGTGACGCTGCCAACCACGCTCCTATCTACTTGAATGGGGCGACACCCATATACCAGAAAGATCTTAACCAACAAGGCAGTTGGCTTTTTTTTACTGGAGGGGCAGGACATTTGTAATTCATTTACATTACATTTACATTTATGGCATTTGGCAGACGCCCTTATCCAGAGCGACTTACAATTATCTCATTTATACACCTGAGCAGTTGAGGGTTAAGGGCCTTGCTCAAGGGCCCAGCAGTGGCAGCTTGGCAGTGCTGGGATTTGAACTCTCAACCTTTCCGATCAGGAGTCCAACATCTTAACCACTGAGCTACCACTTCCCTTATACAGATGCCATGTTGAAATTTTAAGCAGTAGTCTCTACTCAAACCATCTCTTGTGGAACCCTACAATACATGAACAACATTATAAGATTGAGAAACCCCTCTTTTTCCAAGAGTGTACCTACAAAGTAGGAATCATTTAAATTAATGATGATGCAGCTTCAGTGTTTCAAAAATAAATTTAGACTACACAGAGTTACCTATTTTAGAGGGAAATTTAAAAGCACTTAGATAGGATTAGCTAGCTACACGTAGAAATGATTAAGGGTGCTAAATTTGAGCTTAAGTAGCAGCTAAATGTGGTCAATGTTTCAGTGTTCTTGAGATTTGTAGGAAGTGAATTTGTGTGAAGTTGGATGAGTAGCAGGCGCACATTGATGACATCATGGGGTAGTTCAAAGAAAAGTTGTTTATCCATGAATATGTCCTACACAAAGAAATGACATTCATATACCAAGTGTATAGTATACTGTAGATAATTAGGATTTAAGTTAAAATACATTTTAAAAGTGGATCCATCCTTACTGTGAACATGGCCATGAATATTAACCAACATGTATTATGTATTGACTCTCTGAGCAGTTAAACGCACTGTTAGTTCATTTTAAATGTGCAGAATAATTTCTGGAGCTTGTCTTTGGGCCTCGGCTTCATCAACAGGCAAGCCAAAGTAATTGGGAGGGACATAAATTGCAGAAATGCACTTATACTTCAGTGTGACTTGGCATTAAATTCATTGACGTAACTTTTTAACCTCCGTTACACACGTGTGTGAGCCTCAGTCTGAACAGTTTGGTGGTTTACACCTGGTTTTACTCATGCTGTACTTTCTAAGCAGGTTTGCTGTTGCACTGTGACCCTGAAAAACTGGAACTTGACCCGTGTTCACTAGCATCTGGTGTCTCAGAGATCTAATGCAACCTCAGAAAAGTCTCCACTGGATATGTTTTTCAGTTGATTATTTGCTATGTACATAAATTCAAACAGAAATAATATAAAAGTGCAGTAAAAAGAAGAAAAAGCCACCATTGATTTTAGTAACAGATGGAAAATTAGTGTTTCTTTCACCATGGAACCAAGGAACGTGGGAGAACATTAGCTAAGGCTGACTAAGTACAGCTCGGACAGTGGTTTCAGACGTGTAATCACTGATATGGTGATGTTTTCTGTAAGAAGATGTTGTTGTTTTTTTTTAACATTTATGGAAGGAGTCTCCAGTCAGAGGTAAAGCTGTAACTTGAAGTTTTACGACATCTTCAGGACAGAGGAGTTTACGCTTCTTTGCAGTTTCTTGGTAACATAACAAGCTGCTAACTTTAAGAGAAGGTAAAAAGAGTGGCTGGTGAGGGAACGGTTGTTTATGTAGCTGCTATAACGTAAGTGAAAACAGGAACTAACTTGTTTTACAGACTTTCCAAAACAGATAAAAACGAAGAAAACTTGTTAATAAATAAAAATTAGTCGTGTTGGTAAATTACTGTGAGGAGTAACAGGAATAAAACACTTCAGGATGTGCCGTTTTATGAGAAAATAACTTAACTTTAGTGTAGTAACTAACTCAGCTTCATTATGCCACTCTGTCGTTGATTAATTTCCTACAACAGCATGACACAGAGTGTTTTATTTCTGTGTCTGTAAAATCAGCCATGTTTCATTCTTCACACTGAAACCACTGAAGTTCTCTGAGCTGTTGTTTTTGTTGTGCTCTGATGGTCATATTTTGTGTTACGAGCTCCTTCAGGAATCTTATTCCTGCAGTGTCAGTCGGGGATTTTTGTTTTATTCGGGGGCTGTCGGTTGGAGGGACAGCGAAATGCTTTTTTGTCTTTTTCTTACTAAATCTGCTCCTCTGAGACCCTCTCTGACAGACCCTGCTACAGCCAGCCAAACCAACACGGGTTGATTCTGCGAGAATTATTATTAT